AAATTTATTAAGTGTTAACATTTAAGAGATATATTAAAGAACAAATAGTTTTAGTAACAAAAAATGTCAAACCTGAAACTGGGAAACCCCCCTCCCAAGCCCCACTAATACGTACAGCATGCGAAAACTAGGAAAAGCTTAAATAATTAATTTTTAACACCTGCGTACTTAGAGAATAGTTAGACTATGTACCTGCAATAGTCAAAGTTGAGAATTATTTAATAGGAAGGAAACTAGAGTCAATTAATAATTATTAATTACTTGCTAAAATTAAAGAATCATTCGAAACGTCCATTAACAAAATTTGGTAATTTTTACTTGAAAAATAACGAAAGTCATTTGTTCAGGTTCAAAAGACACTCAAATACTTTACTCAGCCTGAAACTAACTTGTTCTGACTCTAGCTACGCATAAACGTCTTACTTAGCATAAAACTTACTCTCTTGTTCACTCTTAGATACTTTACTCACTCGAAATTGTTCGTACAGTATCACGGCCCGAGTTTTCCACGTATATTAAGAAATTATTTGTTCATTCGGTCTTCCACAACCAAAGGCTTGCATACGTCTCAAAAAAGAGTAATTATAAGCAGTGCAACGTTCCTCGACTCGCGCCTTACAAAAGAAAATTTTCGAAATTTAACAAGAGGAATTAATATTAGCTAAAGTCAGGAAAAAATTGAAGCTGACAACAATAATTTGTCGTAAGCATGCGACACTTTACCCACATCGAGCATCTCGTGTGACCACTTTACATGTTATATCTGAAACAATTATATTTTGTTATAAATCAAGGTATTCACAGACCTATATTATATTTAATACATTCGCACTCTCAGTCGCTTATTCACTAACTCACACTTATACATATACACACACATATATATATCTGCGTATTCATATATATGTATAGGGTGATTGATTTGAAGTGACATATATATATACATGTATTTGTCAAATTCGAAGAAGTATAAAAACTTGTTGTAATAAAAATTACTTGGTAAATAAGAATACATATAAATAAAAGAAGTCATATAAAAGAAATATACCTTTTTGCAGAAAATGCGACAAGGCTAAACCTAGGTCAACAGAATTTTCTAAATAGAACATTAAATTTTTATAACATATTCTGGTAGATTACCTTGAGAATTTTCAAAACACTAGCTGAAAGTCCATTTTATTGATTAGCTTACAAGTTACGGAATTCTAAAAAATATATTATATATTGTTACGTCCCGGTCGGCCGCGGCTGCGATACTAGACTGCAGGTACTCGGGCCTGGACGCGGGACTAGATCGCTATTTTTGGGTCGAACGAATCGTATGATTCTCCCCAGGGATACGCGCGATCTGGCGGGCTCGACACGAGATTCCACGAAGTATGAAGCATTTGGCACTTACCCGTTCCTTCAGTCCAATGTAACAATTTGGCACACCTATGTCATGGAGTTGCGCACATGCTCACGTAGCCGGTCGAAAGTCGGAGGTTTTCCGTTCCAGGTACGGTTGGTGTGAGGCGGGGTAGATGCTCCGTAGTAGTGGTGGAGGATCTCTGCATGCAACCGGCGGTAAAAGGCAGGCCTCGGGTCTCTTGGCGAGAATCCGCGTCGAATGTTCGGTAAACGTGGGATGGTATCACAATCGATTCTACTAACGCGGTATGACTCGCGAACGTTGGCTTTCAGGTCTGGCACGGGCGACTGAGGAGATTCCGGAGGACAAGGGGGCTTGGTTGAGCGAGGAGGCTCCTCGTCGGGAGCAGAGTTGTCGGGTTCGATACCTAGGTAAGGGTGGTAAGCTTGTCCGTGTTTTAGCTGGTATTCCAATTTCTTGATGAATTTCTTACGACCTCCCCTGCGTACAGGGCGCATTTGGAATCACTCCCGTGACTCTGGCTAACGGTATCTGCAAGGTCGATTCGGAAGTCCCTACGCTGTCAGGCGGTGCGATCAAGCCGCAACCTATACGCCTTCGAGCGACTAGTAGACGGTGCGGTCGAGCCGCAACCTGTGCGTCTACGGGTGGGCAGTGCGATCAAGCCGCAATCTGTACGCCCGCTAATCTAATGATGCGAATGCCTCAGAGAAGTCCGCGGCCAGTTTATCGACGAGGCAATTCCAATGCGTTAGCAGGGATGGGAGGAGATGGGAGAGTGAATTTAAACTTGAATTAACTAACAAGGATATATTTTAACTAAAAGGAATACACTAAAATATTCTAAGTTAGATTTGGTGAAAATATTCTAAGTTCACAAATACGAAAATATTCTGAGTTATTGGTATAATTATTGGTATAGTTATTGATATTGGGAGTACCAATAGATTTGGTACTTATTACTAGACCCTAAGAGGGATGGAGGAAGCACTGCACCAGATCACTGCACGACTGAGACTGCCGCTCGGACGCTCTGCAATCTCTGAGCTGCGGTTTTCCGGAGCCGCCGAATTTTCCTCCGGAATGGGGAGGTAGTGGGAGTTTGGAAATTGGGACTTAGAAAATTTCCCTGCTGAGGGACTTAGGAAAATTCTGAATTGAGGGACTTAGAAAAATTCTAGGTTGAAGGACTTAAAAAATTTGGGGATCGAGGGACTTAGAAAATTTATGGATCGAGGGACTTAGAAAAATTCTGGATTGAGGGACTTAGAAAATTTGGATAGGAAGAAAATAAGAGAGGAGAAAAGGAGAAAAAAAATTTTTGTGTGGTGCTTCCTTTTACAATTAGTGATGCGGATGTGACAATATTATGTCACAATTTCTTATTTAACATCCTCTATAATGCATAAATCCTCATATAATGCATAATATAATGCACTTTTCTTATTAATTAAATCATACAATATCGTTAACCATAATGCACTTACACATAACACTTAACTTATATAGTTTATTACTAGCCCTAGTTATATTTTATATTCTTATTCTTAAGCTCGTGAGTAGAATGCATAATACAAGGAAATTATGTTAAATATAACCGCGACAGATCAAAACTTTAAGATTTTATATTCACCTGTACAACAAAATGGCGGGACAAGCATAACGTTAAGCCTAACCCGGAACGCCGAGGCAGGCCGAGCCTTAAGGTACGTGGTGTCGCCATCGCGCCGCGGCCGCCGGGTGAATTCACTCGCGCTCATATGATTCTTATCCAAATTTGTCACTATAAAATAATTTCAAAATTATTATTAACACTTAGGAAACATCATAGGCAACAGTCATAAAGCTAATGTATCACCCACAGATGCTATATCACAAGTATAATTTAAAACCGGTTTCTGTAGTCCTTTTAATATTGAATATTCACTAGCACTAACATTACATTTATTGTATATCGCTAATAATCTTTACACTAACCAAATTGTCGGATAAAATGACCAAACAATCATATAATATTTCACCTACTAAACCAACGTAAGTTAAACTGCGAAAGATCTGACGCATACTACTCATGGCACCGCTTGGTACTGTTTATATCTACGATAAAATAAACACTCCGCTACGAATTCCTACGCCGAGACACGCATGAGTTATAACTTTTATCGAGGTTAGTTCATGATTAATAATTACTATAGATTTATCAAAAGTTATTCATTATAACAAAAAGCAAAATCCAAAGGGAATTAATAATAGGAAAATCCCTATAACACACTTGTATTGGGTGAGTGCAAAAGTTCGTGCGGAGTTTGTGAGTAAAAGTCACACAGTGATTAGGCAAACAAAAATCTTTATTCAATCAATGATATATTTTCCATCGTTTTCTATAATCTTTTCCCAACGTTCTGGCAGCATACGGATGCCTCGATCATAAAAACTGCGCGGTTTAGATTCGAAGAACGAAGAGACGCCGTTTTTTAAGGCCTCCAAAGAGTCAAAGTTTTTTCCATTTAAATAATTTTGCAATGACCGGAACAAGTGATAGTCAGATGGTGCGATATCAGGAGAATACGGTGGATGCGTTAAGACATCCCATTTCAGGCTCTTCAGTTTGCGCAGCGTCTTTTTCGAAACGTGTGGTCTGGCGTTGTCGTGATGAAAGACGACTCCCTTGCGATTTGACAAAATCGGACGTTTCTCTTTTATTTCTCGATTCAGATTGGTTAATTGGCGACAGTACTTGTCCGAATCAATCGTTTCGCCAGCGGGGAGAAGCTCGAAATAGATTATGCCCTTGCAATCCCACCAAACAGAGAGCATCACCTTCATCGGGTGCAAACTGGCCTTTGGCATTGCGTCACCATGCTCACCTGATTGTTTCCATGTCCGTTTGCGCTGAACATTGTTGTAGAGGACCCATTTCTCATCGCCCGTCACTAATCGATCCAAAAACGACTCGTTATTGAGCCGCCCGAGTAAAGAAACGGCTGCAGAAATTCGCTTGATTTTGTTCTTCTCGGTCAGCAAATGGGGCACCCATATATCGAGCTTCAAATCGAATCCCATCTTTTTTAAACGCCGAAAAGCGGTTGATCGGTCAACGTTTAATGCTGTAGCAACTTCTTCTGTTGAAATTCGCGGATTATTGAGCACTAAAGTACGCAAAACATCGTCATCAATGTCAGAAGCGTGACTCGTCTTCAAGGTTAAATTCTCCGCACCGAAATTTAGCAAACCATTTTTCCACAGTTCGTTTAGCTGGTGCTTCATCCTGATAAACATCCTGAATGTTTTTTACGGCTGCGGCAACGTTTATTCCCTTCCGAAACTCGTAAAGCATAACATGCCGTAAATGCACCTTATCGATACTCATTTTTAAAGTGATATTTCTCGAAGCAGTTTGTATGAAAACAAATGATTTTTTTTAATAACAGCTGAAGACGTCACCTTTCCAACGTTATATAATATGTAGATGGAAGTATTAATGACAATACTTTACGACGCTTATAACTCCATCTATTGAAACTCCGCACGAACTTTTGCACTCACCCAATACATAAGATATAACTATATTTTAAAAGGAATACAAAATACATATTTAGAATAATATATAAATATATATATATATTTAGGTGCAATACGGCAACTCGTTCATTCTCTGTAACAAACAAGATTAATGTAAGTAATCCCCGCGTTTTCCAAAAAAAAGCCGACGTACTGACGCGGTGGAATCACACTAAGGCTAATATATAACTTCATTGTCTCAGCGACAAGAAAAATCCAACAATTATACTATTAGGTGCGCAACTAAGTTCCCGCTGTTTTTCAAGAGATGGCTCCAGTAGTAAGTGCTGGTCGATTGTGACATAAGCAAAACGTCATGAACCAAGCTTAGACATATGGTAAACAAACCGCTTGACACATTAGTGATTTTGTTTTTGCGTCATATACTTTTGGTTGTGTGAAAATGTCTTATTTTGTGCCAAATAATCGTCATTTGCGGGAAGTGTTGCTTTTCTTCTTTCATTCGAAGAAAACGGCGGCTGAAGCGCATCGAGAACTCCAAAAAGTTTACGGAGATGCTGCTCTAAGTGAAACAACGTGCCGTGATTGGTTCCGTCGCTTCAAAGACGGTGACTTCGATGTTGACGACCGTTCGCGTGAAGGAAGGCAAAAAATCTTCGAAGACGCTGAATTGGAGGCATTGCTCGATGAGGATCCGTGCCAAACGCAAAAAGAGCTTGCTTCAGCATTAGGGGTTACCTGCCAAGCCATTTCCAAGCGATTGCATGCGTTGGGAATGATTCAAAAACAAGGAACTTGGGTTCCTTATGATTTGAAGCCAAGAGACGTTGAGCGTCGTCTTTTCGCCTGTGAACAACTGCTCCAGCGGCAAAAAAGGAAGAGTTTTCTTCATCGCATCGTTACGGGTGATGAAAAATGGATTCATTACAGCAACCCAAAGAGAACAAAATCATGGGGACTGCCCGGTCATGCTTCTACGTCGTCGGCTCGGCCAAATATTCACGCTGCGAAGGTTTTGCTGTGTATTTGGTGGGACCAGGGCGGTGTTATTTATTATGAGCTGTTGAAACCGAACGAAACCATCACTGGGGAACGGTATCGAACTCAATTGATGCGATTGAGCCGAGCACTGCGCGAAAAGCGGCCACAATACGAGCAGAGGCACGAAAAAGTGATTCTACAGCATGACAACGCTCGGCCTCACGTTGCCAAACCCGTTAAAACCTACTTAGAAACGCTCAAATGGGAAGTCCTACCCCACCCGCCATATTCCCTAGATATTGCGCCGTCCGATTATTACTTGTTCCGTTCGATGGCACATGGTCTGGCTAATCAGCAGTTCCGCTCATATGAAGGCATCTCAAAATGGCTTGATTCGTGGATAGCCTCAAAAGACGAACAATTCTACCGTGACGGTATTCGAGCTCTGCCAGAAAGATGGGAAAAAGTTGTCGCTAGCGATGGGCAATATTTTGAATGATTCATTTGTAACCATTTTTTCACAATAAAGTTGTATTTTCATCAAAAAACAGCGAGAACTTAGTTGCGCACCTAATATAATGCAAGACGTTCCGAACGTCAGGCCTAATTCCTACTTAGAAATTCTACAAGTAGACAAAAGACTGAAACTAACGAGCCTAAAAACAATAATGTAGAGCAAATAGTCCGAAAGTTACAGACTTGTACAAATTTCATGTCGAAACAGTTGCGACAAACCCTATAAATGTCACTTTTTTTAGCAGAAATTTTCCCTGAGTAACTGGAGACAAAACTAATTAAATTTTCAGAAAGAAGGCTTAAAACCTGACCTGTACGTGAAAGGAAGAGCAAATTATCTCATCTAGATCCTGAGAAATAAATTTAGTGTCAAAATTGATACCGTTCCGACTAAGTTTTGCATGATGAGGTCTCAGAGCGAAGTTCGTTCCACAATAACTTGGACAAATTCTGAGTGCACTGTTCATTAGCGAGTGAAAAGATATACCTGCATACACAAAATCAATTATCTAGCTCGATTAGTTGCTGAGTTATTAATTAATAAATTTTGAGATTCTGGTATATCCGAGACAATAGACGCAGTGTCCACATACACACAATTCCTATTCTCGAATAAAAGAAAGACTCGGATAAAACGAATAAAAACCAACAAATTCACTCCAAATTTTAATGAAATCTCAGACACCGGAATAACAATTAACAAAATTCAATGCTTTGCTCGAAGAATAAAAAGGACAAGCATTTAACAGCAAAGATAACATCATTGTCTCAGCAACAAGAAAAATCCAACAATTATAGTATAGTGCAAGATGTTCTGAGCGTCAGGCCTAATTCCTACTTAGAAATTCTACAAGTAGACGAAAAACCGAAACTAATGAGGCTAAAATCATTAATGTAGAGCAAATAGTCCGAAAGTTACAGACTTGTACAGATTTCATGTCGAAACAGTTGCGACAAACCCAGTGAATGTCACTTTTTTGAGCAGAAATTTTCCCTGAGTAACTGGGGACAAAACTAATTAAATTTTCAGAAAGAAGGCTCAAAACCTGACCTGTGCGTGAAAGAATGAGCCAATTATCTCATCTAGATCCTGAGAAATAAGTTATTTAGTGTCAAAATTGATAGCGTTCCGACTAAGTTTTGCATGATAAGGTCTCAGAGCGAAATTCGTTCCACAATAACTTGGACAAATTCTGAGTGTACTGTTCATTAGCGAGTGAAAAGATATACTTGCATAAACAAAATCAATTGTCTAGCTCGATTAGTTGCTGAGTTATTAATTAATAAATTTTGAGATTCTGGTATATCTGAGACAATAGACGCAGAGTTCACATACACACAATTAGACTCGGATAAAACGAATTAAAACCAATAAATTCACTCCGAATTTTAATGAAAAATCGGACACCGGAATAACAATTAACAAAATTTGATACCCTACTCTAAGAACAAAAAGAACAAATATTTGACAGCAAAAATAATCTCATATCACGAAAGTCGCCCCGCTGGGAAAATATTCATTTAATTTGCGTTATTTACGCATTTATTAACATATTTAGCTACTTATCTCGAGAAGGCGCGTAGTATCAAATACCTACCCGAATAATTTCCTTAAACCATATGCATCGAAATTCTCCCTGAAGTCTATCTTGCCAAATAACCAATAGGTTTCCGCCTTTCTTCTCCTCCATCTCCTCTCCCAACATATCTTGCTCATCTCCCTTATTGAGAGGAGCCCGAGCAACAGAATTTCTGTCTTTACGCATACATCCCCATTACAGAAACACTGCAACAAAAACAATATTATAGAACCTCTCCCATATGTAGTTATATCTCTACACACACATATCGAAAGGAATCACACTCGCTATGACTACCGGCACAGGACGAATGTACCAATGCTAGTAATAACGTTAAAATAATACATTTTTACTTTTTTTTTCTTTCTGCTCGTACAACTAACAGCTCACGACTGACAGCTGACAGGAAATCTGCACAAAATGGAGACCGACAGGCATAAGCCTATATATATTATCTAGATGCACTACCCTTCGAACACACATCCCTATATAGAACTAGGACACACGAAATGGCGGAAGCCATTTGGACAAAACTCATTAAGTGGTATTAGATCATGAAAAACTACGATAAAGTTATTAACATGCAATCCACACATTACTGATATACACTATTATATAAATAATTATCAATAATATCATAATTACTAAATTGATTAAAATAGGGAAATAACTATTTTTCTACTATTCAAACCTTCAGAAACAACATTAACGCCACCCCAAATACACGAAAATTACAAAATTGTGCATGAACAAACTAATTTTGTAAAATAATTTTGGATTTTCACTATCGCTAAAAATGTGTCGGACACTCTCAATATGGTACCCCCACGATTAAAAATTAGTTTAATGCAATATTTTAATTCGGTTATTTAAAAAATCGGGCAAATAACAATTAAAACGCCGCAGACCCATATTACAATAAAAACACTTGAACATAATTACTAGAGGATAAAATTAATGTATTCCGTTATTGTTTAAAATTCAATGTCATCGTTCATAACAATTATAATTAATAACAAATATCCATTATAATAAATCTAGAGTGTTTCTTTGTCACTATAAAACTTTTTCTCAGAACCCAAAATTTGCTCATACTTTCCGATCTGCCTAAAATTACACACAGACTAATTAATGAATAAATAACCACTTAACCAGTCAAGACAAAGAATTTACAATCTTATACACTATATTCCAAATTGCTCAGAGAATCAAGTACGCTCAAGAGAAATCATTAAACCACCTATAAAAATTAATTGCAAAAAATTATAACAAATTAATTATAAAACAAAGACACAACACACCATACAATTATACTTCTCTATGAAATACTAATATATCGGAACTATAAAAATCATCTATTATAGGCGAAATTAGTTAAACAATTTTTTTCAATTTATTAATTTTATTAATCTTTATTAACCTTCCTTAACCTCAATTAAATTCATCTATAACCTTAATTAATTTTTCTTTAATTGTTTTCATTTTTATTAACTTTTAATTCTTCCTCTTCTCTTTTTCTCTTTCCTTTTCTTCTTTTTTCCTTTTTTATTCTGTCTTATCAGAGAGAATACACCCTCCACTAGTCATGGAAATAAATTCATTATACTGGCTCACATAACCGACTTGGCAAAATACCGTCTTGAACAATAGTGCGACTTTGGCAATTTTATACTCATAATTCGAAAAATACTTAATCAAAGCAACCTTACTATATCATTTTAGAAAGATATTGAAAAGAACTATCGGGAAAAGCACCATGATTGAAAAATTCTATTTACAAAAATTAAGTTAACAATCATCTAACACCAGTGACGTCATTTAAGACCAAATAAATACTGTCCTCAATAGGACCACGCCAAACCCTGAAAATTACAAAATCCATCAACCAATCAATCCAAAGTAAAATTATACTTATTAACAAATAGCCGTAATGGCACATCGCATGATAAATAAGCCTAAGATAAGGCCTTTCTTGTAAACGCTATATCTAAGAACTCTCGATCGATATTATAAATATGCGCACAGCATGAAAATTTATATGTAAGAGAATACGTGAAGGACAAATACATTGGAGACAGTTGCGACCACTTCCAAACATCCATTCCCACTTTTGATCCCCATCACGGCCTTTCCCACACCATAACTATTCTCCAGACCCCCCCACCACGGCCTTTCCCACACCATAGCTTCTCTCCAGACCCAAAGAGTTGATCCTGGAGAGCCCGACGAGTCAGTCGATCTCGGGGAGCCCGGAGAGTCGGTTACGGGCAAGCTAAGAAACCAGTCGAACTCGAGAAACTCTACTAAGCTGTCATTTTTTAACAACATTATAAGACTCCGTTATTTCGCCTAAGGACTTGCCTTCACGTATGCCTTCATGCGCAACCATTCTAAGCCGCCATTGTTAATCGTAAGTTGCATTTTATATTGTATTAGGACTGATTAGTTTTTATAAAACTTTGCATTACGGATAAACGTCGTAACGGTTATTCGAGTTGTCACATGCATTCGGTCAACCTGGTTGAGAAAGTAGAGATATCATAAACGTTCAGTAATCCAAAATTTAATACACCACTTTGACATACTAACACGCACAATATATATATAAAATCACATTACACCAGTTTTAATGATAAAACTGTAGCTATTGAATCTGTAGCTATGTTCAATTAAGAATAGGTTCCATTTTCATTAAATCACTTCAAACTCCCATGAATCCCTGGTAGCTCCACCGCAGATGAGCCCCAGAATTTCCGTGCGATTTACCTATCGGCAGCTCCCCACGGTAGAGCTCCTTGCAGGAAGTAGACTTAAGATCTGGAAGCTCCACGCATCGTTGAGCCCTTGTCTTGGCAGCTCCGCGCATTGTTGAGCCCCAAGCTAGGCCACCTTGTTATAGCTGACGCTCCAGAATAGATTTTAGTTTTAAGAATCCTTCAGGCAGCTCTAATAATCGAGCTCCATTATATCCTCAGATTTCCAGGTAGCTCCAGAACAGTAGAGCTCCAATCATCTTTTTTTTTTTGTTAGACCAGGGGGAAATCCCTAACGGATACCCTCGGGCCTTGTGGGAGACCGGAGGGTTATGTGGGGCTTTCACCCACTAAAACCACCTGGTGGTACTTTCATACCCTCTGGCGTGTTTTGATGGGTCGACTCCGGCGGCTACAGGAAGGAGTTCCCTATACCTTTTGCGACCGCCACGCCAATGGCACAAGGCCCTCATCTTTAGGCGCCCGCACACGACAGGGCCCAAGAGGGGGGGGGGAGGGAAGACGAGCGTCTCACGTCCCCGAAGGGCGCTGCTCATTCTCAACCACTGCTCCACCCCCTCCCCCCGGCACGGGAGGGGGAGTCGTGATGTAAAAGACTCATTAAAACCCAAGTCCCGCGCCGGAGTTCGGGCCCTATCGGAGCGCGTGCGGGCACCTGGCCGAGCGTCGTCCCCTTCCATAAATAGAAGGCCGCTCAGCCCTTGCAGGCCAGCGGGAGAGGGGGGAGCACCACCCCTCTCTCCCGTCTCCACCTCCGGTGGTCGAGGTGGAGACAGGGACAGACCAGACCCACATCCGGACCTGCCCCTATTCACCCCCCGCCCGCCTCCCCCAACAAGTGAGGGAAGACAGGTCGCTGGGTGCTTCGCCCCGATCCGAAGACCAGATCAAAGGGCATATTTGACCGGTCGCGCAGCTTTGCCGATCCCCTCACTGCGGCAGGGGAGGGAGGCGCCATCTCCACCTGAGACGGCGCACAACACCCTCCCTCCCCCGCCGATCGGGTACACCGGAGACCGCCCAGGCAGTTGCCTGCCCCACCGACACCAAGCTCGGCGGTGTCCTCGTTGGCGGGCGTGTTTCCACGCCCGACTCTGATGCCTTTCGATATCAAACACCCCTCCTAAGTAGCGGGCGTGGAAACACGCCCGCCCAGCTCCAATTACCTTTTTTTTGGTCACGCAGGGGAAATCCATCATGGATACCCCCTCCCCTTGAAGAGGAGGGGGTTATGTCGGACTCTTACCGACTAAAACCCCTGCGGGATGTCTACCTGTCGGACCGTTGGGTAGGGAGTTAGGGGAACTGCTCCCACATTCCCTCCTCAACCCCCCGGCCTCAGGGCTCTCCGGGAGCCCCACGCCATCAACGTACCACGCCCTGTCCCACAAAGGGAGTCCAGGGCGCGGTTCCCGGTGGGTCGCCCCACCGGTTGGCCTTCTGGTCACACCTGTTAGAAGGAAGGGGACACCCACCGCTCCTCCTTTACCCTCCCTCCTTGATTCTCATCAAGGGAGGGAGGATTTTGGGGGAGCGGACCCGGCCCCAACCGGGGCTCCGCTTCCCCTTTACCCTACCTTTCCGACCGCGCGGGAGGGACCAGGGTAACCCTATCCCCTCCCGCACGGATGGTGGCGGGCCCGAGACGGCCGAGGAGTCCCCGAACCGTCGCTGTCGACGGGCGGGTCTTCCTCGGCCGACGCCACCTCGGGTCCGCTGCCGATTCCCCCCCTAGGGGATCGTCGACCGGTGCGTCGCCTCCTGCGACGCACTCCCGGTCGACGTCCCCACTCCGCGGCCTCCTTCTGCGAGAGAACCTCTCTGCAGAAGGAGTCCGCTGCATCCCACGCCTTCCCGCTCCCGCACATGGCCGCAACCATGCGCGGGAGCGAGAGCTCCCCCCTTCGGCACTCCACCGCCCCCTCGAGGACACGGCGCTCCCCTGTCCCATGCAGAGCATGCGGACAGGGTGTGATGCACCGTGTCCTCGAGAATGGGGCAGTGGTGGCATCGAGTGGTGGGTTCCTTTCTTATCTGGTCAGATACCGACCGAAGCAGCCGTGCCCGGTCAGCATCTGCACCAGGTGGAAAGTCATTCCACGTCCCCTCCTGCCTGCCACCTCTGACAGGCAGGGGCGGACAGCCGCGGCCGTCTTGGGATCGGACACCCTCGGATCGGACAGTGCGTCCGTCCACTTCCGAAGCGTCCGGTCTCTGGCCTGGAGTTTCAGTCCCTTCATGTCTCTGGCCCTTAGAGTTCCCTCCGCGCGGAGCTCCTTCACTCGCCAGTAGAGGAGCCCTCGGAGAGACCTCTCTTCAGCGAGGAGCTTCACGGGAGGGACGCCGACCAGGGTGGTCGCCGCCATGTATGACACGGTCCGGTACCCCCGGATCGCCCTTATCAGTACTAGCCTCAAGGCCTGCCGGAGGGAGCGTTTTCCCCTCCGGCAGGCCAAGAGGCTGGTCGCCCATATGGGTGTACAGCACGGCCGACCGAGAGCACGGCCGTGACATACAGGCGGCGTGCCATCTATCCCGGGCCCCCCTGGGCGCGCATCAGGCTGGCTACCGCCAGACCCGCCTTGCGCACCCGGGGGGCCAGGTTCCCAAAGTGGGGCCCAAAACTTCAGCGACTGT